TGGAATACATTTGGAGTGAGTTTGGATAACGTTCAATGAATTGAACACGCTACAGGGAATGAAAGTCCATTTTCACATCAAATGTATGTCGATAAAGTTTGCATGAATCTGGATACGTTCATTTAAAATGATACGAGTTTACATACATTCAGATCTATGTAGAGTGGTTTAAGTCAAGGTGGGTTCATTGGCAAACAGAAAACGTAATTTCAAATATATATACACATTATTTTTGGTTTAAAAAACTTACTCAAATCCATAAAAAAGAAAAGCCACATCACGATCCAATAACATGTGGTTAAGCTAGGTCACGTTGGACAAATTCTGTACATGTGTATATACCCAGACACCTGTATACCATTCTTAAACCGTTTCAATTACTCATATGTGTTGATTCAGATCGGATCCAAAGAATCAGAACCGGATAGTGAAATATGACTCAAATCCAGAATCCGATCCAATAAATCACAGCCACAAAACCAGATCCAGACAATCAGGCCCAAAGGATCACACCCACATAATCGGATCCTGAACACCATATCCATGCATGTACATACATATAGATATGTATACATATCCAATGCTTCGAAATAGCTTAAGGAAACCGGATACAAAAAGGAAATCCGACCCCGACGCCCCCCTCCCCCTCCCCCTCCCCCTCCTCATCCTCCTCCCTCTCCTCCTCCTCCTCCTCTTCTTCTGCTGCTGCTTCTTCTTGTTATTAATATGATGTTGCTTATCCTTATTACTCTGAGTAGTATTCGCATTCTTCTTCTTATATTAATTAGTATTACTATCCTCCTCCTGCCCCTCCTCCCTCCCCCTCCCCTCCTCCTCCTCCTCCTCCTCCTCGCCCTCCAGCGCCTTTCCCCTCCTCCTCCTCCTCCTCTCCTCCTCCTCCTCCTCCTGTTATTATGCTGCTGGTTCTTCTTGTTATTCGTATGATGTTGCTTATCCTTATTAATCTTAGTAGTATTCGTATTCTTCTTCTTCTTCTTCTTATTACTATCCTCTTCCTCCCCCTCCGCCCTCCCCCTCCTCCTCCCTCCTCCTCCTCCTCCTCCTCCTCCTTCTCCTCCTCCGCCTTCCCCCTCCTCCTCCTCCTCCTCCACTCCTCCTCCTCCTCCTCCTGCTCCTCCTCCTCCTCCTCCGCCTCCTCCTCCTCCTGCTCCTCTCCTCCTCCTCCTCCTCTCCTCTCCGCCTCCTCCTCCTCCCTCCTCCTCCTCCTCCTCCTCCTTCTCCTCCTCCTCCTCCTCCTCCTCCCGCCTCCATCCGCCTCCGCCGCCTCCTCCGCCTCCTCCTCCTCCTCCTTCCTCCTTCTCCTCCTCCTCCTCCGCCTCCTCAGCCTCCTCCGCCTCCCTCCGCCTCCTCCGCCTCCGTTCCGCTCCGTTCCTCTCTCCTCCTCCTCCTCCTCCTCCTCCTCCTCCTCCTCCTCCTCCGTCTACGTCTCCGTCTCCTCCTCCTCCTCCTCCTCCTCCTCCTCCTCCCTCCGCCGCCTCCTCCTCCTCCTCCCCTGTCGCCCTCTTCCTCCTACGTCGTCTTCTTCCTCTTCCTTCCCTCCTCCTCCTCCCTCCTCCTCTTTCCTCCTCCTCACCTTCCTCCTCTTGCCTTTCGCCTCTCCCTGCTCTCCTCCTCCCTCCTCCTCCTCCTCCTCCTCTTTTTCCCTCCTCTTTTTCTCCTCTTCTTCCTCCTCTCTTCTCCTCCTCCTCCTCCTCCTCCTCCTCCTCCCTCCTCCTCCACCTCCTCCTCCTCCTCCTCCTCCTCCTCCTCCTCCTCCTCTCCCCTCCTCCCCTCATCCTCCTCCTCCTCCTCCTCCTCCTCCTCCTCCGCCTCCTCCTCCTCCTCTGGCGACGCAGGAAACCGAGGCCTTGAGACATATCATGACGTCCAGACCCACGGCCCCCACCACGAGAGGAAGTGAAAGGCGCGGAAGAAATTGCCCCGCGCTGCCACCCACGCCGAACCCACGGAGGGGGGCGGGAGGAGAGATGGCGAGGGACAGGCTAAGCGCGTTCGCGCCACATCTGACGTCCGACCACCCCCTCCTTCCCTCTGGGCCACGTTTTGTCCTAGTCAGCGGGCCGAATGTCCAATCGGACTGGAATGCGCCGATGGCATCTGCACCGCTTGCCTCGCCGACCATTGTCCGAAGGGTAAACGGGCCAGACTGGACCAGGATGCACATAGGTAGGGCGGGAATGGCTGGGCGGCCAGACTTCCGACTCCCCGCCAGGCCATTGGGCGACCGTTGGAGCTCGCCGCGGGCGCCCCGAGGGCACCTCCCAGATCGCTGGGGCGCCTCGGCGCACCTTGCTCCACGCACCCACCCCATGACACCTCGCTCGCGCTGCACACGTGCACCCATGAAGCGCTCAAAGCGTCAGACGCCAAGAAGATGCTAAAGAGAGACCTCTCATGAGACCCCAGAGGCTGATCGGGGGGCCCAAGAGGAGCCCCTCAGCGGGCTCAGCGAGGCTCCCCAGGATGCACGAGATGCCCCTCAGGAGGCCCAGGAGCAAAAGATGCCAGGCCCAGACCCCCGACGTCATTTTTTCACAACATCGACCCCCAAAGGTCTGCCCTTTCCCCGAAGGATTGCAAAACAAACCCAGGATTGCAACAACAAAAAAAAACGAAGGATTGCACGAAGGATTGCAAAAAAAACGAAGGGTTGTTTTGCAATCCTTCGCCCAGGGTTTTTTTGCAATCCTTCGGTTTTTTGCAATCCTTCGACCGGTTTTGCATCCTGCATCGTCTCTGGACGCTCCCGGGGCCCGGTGGCGGCCCCCGGAGGCCGAAGAGAGCGACAAAGCTCCCGTCGTGACCTTTTCCACGACGCGAGGAGGTCTTCCAAAGAAGCCCTGGATTGCAATCCTTCGTTTTTTTTGCAATCCTGGGTTGTTTTGCAATCCTGGGTTTTTTTGCAAGCCTTCGGTTTTTTGCAATCCTTTTTTTTCCAATCCTTCGGACGTGGCCCCTCAAGAAGTCCCAGGAAGCCTCGGGGGAGACCCGGGAAGCCTCTGTGGGTGCCCCGAGCCTCTCGGGAGGCCCGGGAGGAGCCCCAGGAGGCCCACGAGGCCCCGCAGGAGGCCCAGGAAGCCTCTCGGACGGCGAGGCCTCTCCGAAGAAAAGAAGAGGCCTCCTGGGAGGCCCCAGAGTCGCCCCGGGAGGCCCGAGAGGCATCCCAAGATGCCTCTCGGAACGGCCCGGGAGGCTGCTCGGGAAGCCCAGCCTCGGGAGATCGAGGGATCGCGCGAGAGAGAGAGAGAGAGTGAGAGAGAGAGAGAGAGACAACAACAAAGAACGAACGAGAAACAACAGAAAAACAAAGAACGAACGAGAAACGACAAAGAGAGAGAGAGGGAGAAAGAGAGAGCGAGAGAGAGAGAGAGAGCAAGATGTAGAACAGACGAATAAGGCACGACGCATCAAAAGACTGGCATGTTACCTCCCAGCCCTCCACCCTCCGACCGCTCTGGGCTCCTCGCCCCATCCCTCTCCTGTACGATTCGACGAGCTCAAAGCTACTCCCTGTTGAGAAGACAACAGAACGGATTTTCCAAACACTGCTGCTTCTCAGACCTTGTTGGCAATCCGATGGTCTTCGGTGTCTCAAGATGGTGTTCCCGCTTCAGCGTGAGCCTCGTCTTCGGACCGGCGCTGTGCTCTCGTCGTTCAGAATGGCGCTCTCGCCCCAGCGCGAGCCACTTCTCTGGATCCGAGGCGTCACTGTGGTCCCACCCGGATTTTCCCTCCTCCGCCCTTCTCTTGTCCTCCTGTTCCTCCCGCTCCTTCCACTCCAGTTCCTGTTGCTGCTGCTCGTGTCGCCCCAGAGCGGGCCACTGTTCCGAATCCGAGTCCTTCTCCATCGTTGTCGCCCCCCTCAAATCCCTTCCTCCGCCTTCATCTGGTCTTCCTTTTCCTGTCGATCCGTTCGCTTTAGTCCCTTCGGATGTTGTCCGTCCTCATCCTCTTTCTCCCGCTCATCCTCCTGGTCACCCACCTTCATCTCCTCCCGTGCAACCGGTTCCCCTTTTCCGATTGCGCATGACACGGAGTGGTCTTTCTGTGGGAGTCGCAGGCCGGCTATGACACGCGTCCGCGGATAGAGAAACATCAGCGCCATGGGAAGGGATGGGAGGAAAGGATAGGATGTCAGATGAGGCGCGGGCGCACCTAGCTTGACCCTTCCCCCCCCCTTTGCACCCCCGTCTCCGCTCTCTCTACCTGCCCGTATACCCTCGGACTCGAGGAGGAGGAGGAGGAGGAGGAGGAGGAGGAGGAAGCGGAGGAGGAGGAGGAGGAGGAGGAAGCGGAGGAGGAGGAGGAGGAGGAGGAGAGGAGGAGGAGGAGGAGGAGGAGGAGAAGCAACGCCCGAAGCCGACCCTTGGTGGAGGAGGGCGCAGCCCAGGGCGGCAGAGACGAGCCCGCACCCCTCTCACCCACGTTTCGAACCCCCCCGCCAGACCCGCGCGAAGTGGAGCTGTGCGCCCAGAAGGGTCGGCCAGCCACGTCAAAGGGAACAGACAATGACACGAACATAACAACTCGGAGGCCCGCGCGGGCTCCTCGGATCCGCGCTGGACCCCCCCAGGCGGCGCCTCCGGCGCCGCCCCCGGCGCGCTCAGCGCGCCAGAGAGGGGGGTCCAGCGCCGACCCGAGAAATCGGCGCGGACCTCCGAGTTCTTCTGCTCGTGTCATTCTTCGTTCCCCTCACGTCGGCGCGAATATATTGCAAAAGGCCGTGCAGAAAAGTACGCACGGGGTCGATGTGAGCTACTCCAGATTTCGTAATAAAAGGGAGGGGGTCTGGACCCTCCAGGACAAGCCATTTCAGACCCCCCCTCGTGGGAGAACCCTCCAAAACATCGTCCCCAGACCCCCCCAGGCCCTCCAAGATAGCCTGGAAGAGACCCCCCCCGAAATGAGACCCCACTCCCTTTATTACGAAATCTGGAATACCGAACCGACTGCATTACTGGAGCGATTCTGCTGTGAAGTCATTCGCTCTCGAGGCACAGCGGGCATCCATTGCCCTGTGGCTCTCCGCCGAGGGGCCTCCTCCTGAGAACGACGATGTCCAACAGCCCGCAGACTCCAAGCTGGGCAAGAATCCGCTTCGAGAGGCCAGATACCCCGTTCACCTCCACAATTCTGTCACCACTTTCCACAACCTGTTCTGGGTTGCGGACGTTCCACATCTCGATGATCGGCGGCGAGCGAGGGGGGAATGAGAAGGAGAAGGCCTTCTCAGAAGGCCGCGGGATTTCTCAGAAGCCCTCGCGCTTTCTGAGAAGTTCTTGTTGTCTGCGAGGGCGGCTTAGGAAACTTCTGAGCAGCTTCTTCTGTCTCCGGGGAAGGCCTAGGAAATTTCACAGAAGGTCGGAGTACTTCCGAACCTTCTGCTGAGACGGCCTTCTCCCTCGCACTTTTCCCCCTCGCTCGTCGCCGAGATGAGCCCCTCGTTCACTTTCTCGACGAGCACTGTCGAACAGTTGACGATGTCCACGTCAATCCCGAGCTTGGACCCGTCGCTCCGATCTATGGTGACCTTGAACGTGGCAGCGCCTGGCCAGCGTGCACGCGCCACAGGCGCCTCTTCCGAGGTAGCCAGGGTCGACCCACTGCGCCGCTGGGGATGGACCTCATTCCCGCAGGTTGGGCAATCAATGTTACCATCCGACCCTTCCTCGATGACCTCTCGACAAAGGATCAGAGAGAAGCATGCCGGACACTGCTGGCTGCCCAACTCTATGCTCCCGCAAGGCTTGCGACCGAGGACGACAAGCACCTGCCTCGCGGCGGCTACGCTGACGTGGAGCATGCAGCACCCCACGCCGCAGGCGTTGATGCCCTCCATGGCGCCCATCAGGCGCATGATCCGCATGGGCTGCGGCGTCTCCTCGAACCCCGCATCCTGGCGCATCGAGTTGTTGAGCTGGACCCTGACCTTCCTCTTCGCGCGGTGGGCCCTCTGCGCAGCCTCGCGCCTTGAGGCCGTCGGCTCCTCGGGCTCCAGCAGAGGCCTTGGCGTGGAGGTGTCCGACCCCTGCCTCCGCCAGGCCTCGATGCTCCCAGGTCGACGGCAGGCGGGGGGGCCAGGGCTCGGATTTCGCCCGGCGCTCGGCGAGCTCCGAGCCCTGCCCCCGCCGCCCATGGATTTGCCTGGGAGGAGGAGGAGGAGGAGGAGGAGGAGGAGGAGGAGGAGGAGGAGGAGGAGGGATCGGCGCGGGCAGGCTTCGGATCCCACCGCTGCGCCTCGGCATCCGCGGCGGGCGCGCCCACCGCTCGGCATTGCTCGTCTGCACGGCCACGGTCCTCCCGCGAGGAGGGCAGGGCCGGGCGGAGGCGGTCGTCTTCGAGTAGGCCAAGCTGACCTCTGTTCCAAACTCCGTGCCGTGCTCGGACCAGGCCCTCGGCGCGGGCTGCGAGCGGGGGTCGAGCAGGTATGCGGCCTCGCTGGCGCGAGCGGCCTCCCCCCCGTGCTCCGCGGGGGCCTCCACGAACCTCTCCTCGCCCACCTTCTGCAGGCACACGCTCACGCCTTCGTCGCAGACCGCGTAGGGGACGAGCTTGGCCTCGAACTGGGACGTGGGCGCCCCCTCCAGAGTCGGCCTCTTGTAGAAGGTACCGAGGATGGGTCTGAGAGGCAGGGCGTCTCGATCCCGGAGGAGGCTCGCGACCTTCTCACGGTCGACGGCAGCGACAAAATCAAGCATGGACGCACCCTCGGTATGCATGCCGAAATTCTCCAGGAAAGAGCTGCTGGCTTCGCTGACGATGCCAGATTTGGGACTCAGAGTGCAGAGGCCGCTGGTGGCCTCCTCGAGCAACAACTGGATCACCTCGGTGGACTTCTGTAGCCGGTAGAAGCCGTCGGCGAGCTGCCACTCCGCCACGATGATCCAAACCACCACAGCCATGGTCACAGATGCAAAGGCTGCTAAGCTAACGCCGCTGCACAGATTTTCGGACACGCTCCAGTTGATCAGTGGCGAGAACAGCATCGGCACAATGGCGGCGGAGTGTATGCCTCCCGAGTGCATCCAGCACATCGACACCATAATCCAGAGGGGGCCCACAGCATACTCAAACGGGGGCTCGCATGGCCCAGACTGCACAGGAGGGCCGAGCATCATCCAGAATCCGAAAAAGACGTCGAGCCAGATGGACTGGTAGGGGATGCAAACGAGGCATAGAGGCGACGCGACGTCGTTCATGAAGAGGTACAGGATTTCAGTCCACGACATGGCGCCACCGTCAAAGATGATGGCGCTCAGGTGCACCGGAGCGAGCAGGATCCCTATCACGGACACGACCATCGCCTTGAAAGCCAAGCGGCGCTTCGAAAATGCGAAATATTCACGGCTGGTCGTCACTTCCCACCAGCGCCTCAGCGCCGACCGTGCCTCGCGCAGCCTCTCCTCGCATCGCCCGCGCGGGCTCGGCGGAGGCATTTGGCTTCCGAGCAGGGGATCGGAGCTCATCCGCCCCAGGTCGCGCTGCCAGCGCGCGATCGACCGAGGAGCGAAGGCGGGTGTCGGGCCGCCGGCGACCAGGCAGCGGCGGCCTCGAGTTTGACAGGAGACTCGCGAGCAGTGCGCCAGGCGAGCCCGGAGCAAAACGCTTGAGCCTAAGTGTCGATACGCGCTTGGCTGCGCAGCGGCTGGCACACGGCCCAGGCTGGGACCCTCCTCGCCCTCGCTGGGGCGTCCATTCCCCATGTACTTTCTGGTTTCGTGCGTGTGCTGAACGGGGTGCTGCGGTGGTAGAAGCTACCTCCGGTCAAGGGAATGGAGAGCAAAGACATCCTCAACAATCTTGTGTTCTCGGCCGTGTCGCTTGAGACATCCTCACAACTCTCGTTTCTGAGCTGTCGGAGACTGGCTGTTTCGCTTGAGACATCCTCGAAAGTCTGGGCGCGGGAACGCCGCGCGCGAGGTGTTGCGGGCCGTCTCGTCTGAGACATCCTCGCAACTCTAAGCCCCGAGATGCCGTGCGAGAAATGCATCAGGCCGTTTCCCCTAAGACATCCTCGAAAATCTGGGCTTTGGGATGCCGCGCGCGGTGGTCTGGGCAGTTTCGCTTGATGCGTCATCGAAACTCTAAGTCCCGTGATGCCACGCGAAGGGTGTTCCGGCCCGTTTCGCTTGAGACATCCTCGAAAATCTGGGCTCCGGGATGCCGCGCGCGTTTCGCCAGAGACATCCTCACAACTCTGCGATCCGAGCTTCCGCGCGCGAGGTGGTCAGCGCGTCTCGCCTGAGACATCCTCCCAAGTCTGAGCTTGAAGAGGCCGCGCGCGAGGTGGTCCAGTGCGTTTCGCCAGAAACATCCTCGCAACTCTCTGCTCCGAACTGCCGCGCGCGAGGTGGTCAAGCACGTGTCGCTTGAGACATCCTCGCAATTCTGAGCTCCGAGACGCCGCGCGCGAGGTGGTCCAGTGCGCTTCGCCTGAAACATCCTCACGACTCTGTGCTCCGAGAGGTTGCGCGAGAGGTGTTGCGCAACTCTGGGCTCCGACAGGGAGGAGAGAAGAGCGAGGATGGGGTCAGACCCAAACGAGCTGCTGGACTGCTGCACTTCTGTTTTTTCGAACTGTGCTCTGGGATCAGTGTGGGCGCCCCCCGCCCGACGGAGGAGACAGCCGGGGCCGAAACGCGAGCACGAGTCCTGGGCAACCTTCAAAGGCTGATCAGGGGGGCGCCATTGAAGGGAAACTGGGACACACAAAGAAATACACACAAAGAAAAAGATTCCCCATAGTTTCTCATATTTTCTGGGTTTTGGTCTTCCCCACCACTTCCCATATTTTCCCATATTTCCTGGGAAATCGACGATGGAATTGTGTCTGTGTGTTTTTTCTCCCCTCCTGAGCCATGCTGGAGCAAGTCGTGGAGATTCTTGGAGCGAGAGCGCGGCGAGCAGGGCGGAGGCAGGATGGGGGGGAGAAGAGGAGGAAGAGGAGGAGGAGGAGGAGGAAGAGGAGGAGGAGGGAGGAGGAGGAGGAGGAGGAGGAGGAGGAGGAAGGAGCTCCGAGATGCGCCTGATGATGCTGGCGACGCTGCTAGTGATGCGGATAACGATGATGATGCTGCTGATGATGATGCTGCTGCTGATGATGATGATGCTGATGATGATAATGATGATGATGCTGTTGGTGGTGATGATGATGATGCTGTTGGTGATGACGATGCTGATGATGGCGATGATGATGATGATGATGATGATGATGAAGATGGTGATACTGAAGATGATGATGATGATGATGATGATGGTGATGATGATGACGATGATGGTGATTCTGAAGATGATGATGATGATGATGATGATGATGATTATGATGATCATCGTGATGATGATGATGAGAATGATGATGACGGATATGATGATGCTGACGATGACGATGATGATGATGATGATGAGGAGGAGGATGATGATGATAGTGGTAAGGATGATGATGGTGCTGATGACGATGACAGTGATGAGGACGGTGATGTTGATGTTGATGTTGATGACGATGGTGATGTTGATGTTGATGACGATGATGTTGTGTGGCCTCGGGAGAAGCTCCACAGGGGCCTCGAAGTAAACGACTGATATGATTGCACAGAAAGAACACAACAACAACATATGTGAAGTTATGAGTTGAAGGATGGACAGGGCCGAATAGAGCAATGGGGCAAGAGAGGATAGGGCGACGGACAGTCAGAGCAAGAGCAGAGCAGAGCGGAAATGGGGGCAGGACAGATAGTGGTACTGGGAGTCAGAGACCCGACAAACAAGGCAACAAAACCTACCATCTGAATTCTCCTGGTCATCATTATGGAATCTGGACACTGTGGTCCACCCTCCACAAAGAGATTTCAGCACGGCTATCGACCAGGAGCTACACATCGAACGCAGCGTGGATCGCACGATGGTCCAGGGGATGTCTCGGATAGCCCTGCGTTCAGCGGGGGCAATAAGGCAGCAGCTCTCCTTTGGAGTTTCCTGTCCCCTTCGCTCAGAGCCTTTCTTGCTTCCGCGACCGCAATCTCGCCGGCCCTCCGCCACTTCGGGCGAGAGGGGAAGCCCCGCGACGCTTCGCGGAGCAGGGTCGCGAACGATGAATTCTGCCAGAGATCGGGCCCGAGTTCCCCGCGCAGCGCCTGGACCAGCGGGGGGCAGTCGAACGCAGCGCGCTCGAGCGGCGCAAGAAATGCTTCCCGCCCAGGGGAGGTCGGCAGCGCGCATCCGACGAACGCCGCGAGGTAATAGCTCGAGCGCTCGCGAAGAAGCATGGGCCGCCCCGGGCACGGGGGGCCGGGAAGCAGCGGAGCTCAACGCGCAGAACGGCGCCGCAGAGACCGCCGCGAGGTTGGCATGCTCGCGGGCCTGGGTCTTTCGGGTCGGGCGAAAGGGGGGGATAGCAAAGGGGGGGTTTGAGAATCAGCTCACGAAGCTGATTTTCCCGGCGCCTCCCGGCGCCTGAGGCGGCTATGTATCGAGGAATGGGCCCCTCGGCGAGGCCGAAACCAGCTGCATGCAGCAAATGTCGTATCCCCCCCTTTCCCAATCCCCCCTTTCGCCCGACCCGAGTGTTCTCGGGCAGGAGGCATAAGAGAGAGAGAGAGAGAGAGAGAGTCGTGAGAGCGCGTCGGGGATAGAGGAGGGCCGAGATGGCGGAGGGGGCGCGGGCACCAGCCGCAAGGGACGCACGAAGCTGATATCTGCACAGACGCGCAGCTCAGGCATCATCCGACGCCCCAGGCCCGAGCGCCAGTCCGAGATAAACTGACGCACTTGCAATCTTAACGTCCTTCCACTCAGGCAAGGCAGAGGAGATCCATCCGCGGATATGAGTCTCCAGCTCTTTGCTCAAGCTGCCTGAGAGAGGAACGATCAAACGCTTCGCCTGCTTGAGTTTGAGACCTGCGACCCTTTCCGAGGCCTCAATTACTCGGCGCAGCTTGGGCAGGGATTGAATCGAACGAAACACAACCCCCACGTCGCCAGCGCACTCCCGCACAATCCTATGATGCGGTTCAATCACCAGCTTCCGAAGGTCAACCATAAACGGATGAGACGCTAAACCATAAAGGACCCCCGACGCAGGACATACCCGCATAATCCCCGACGCGACGAAAAGCAGGACCTGAACGCGCGACCCAAGACACCCGAAACAACAGACATGATAATACATAAGTCGAAGCAGGAAAAGAAGAGGGGCGGGGATAGCGAGAGAGGGAAGGACCAGGTCAAGCCAGTCATGGGCGATGGATGGGAAAGCCTGAGAGTAATCAAAGGAAATCAAGAGAGGGGGGCGGGTACTCACGCGGTCGTTCATGCCCGTGGCCCTTGCTGCTGCATCGAGCTCGATCACATTGCGGCCGAAGTTGCGACCCGCCACGAAGCCCCGCTGAATCGGGTCTACTGCCGCGGGCGCGGCGAGGGTGAGGCTCCGAACCGCTGCATTCGCGATGATATTACAGTCGGCGTTTTTCAGCTCGAGGGGCCCGGTGTTCCCTGGCGCCCGATATGCAGACGAGTCGGCAGCCCCTGGCTCCTCACCCTTTGCCGCGAACAATCCACGGACGTCGTCGAAGTCGAGGGGCATGCCGGGCCCAGACAGGACCCAGTGCAACGCGTCAGCTAGCAGACTGGCGCCTCCAGAATGGCATTTCCAAGCCGCGCGCGGTGGCCCATCAGGGCCAGGGGCGCTGCTTGGGAGCTTCCTCGTGAGGTTCTCAATCCGGGATTGATCAGGGGGTTCGATGTTGGTGAAGTCGCGTTTGATTCCAAACCTATCCACATGCGCGCGGGCGGCGTTCGCCTCGATGGGCCTATTCCGACCCCCCCCCCCACGAAGAGCAAGCTCGCCCATGCGCGTCTCGGGGTGCGCCCCGGTCCCGCCCAAGGGCAGCTGGATTCCCTGAAGACACAAGTGGCGACCGAAAGGGAGCCACAGACGGCTCCGTCTCTCCGGCCCTTTTCATCTTCCAACTAAGTTTGGCCTGCGCTTTCTGGGAGGGCTCACCGCGCACGCGCTGGATGCGCCGCTGTGCACTCTGGCTCAATTCGATGTTGAGCTGCTCACTTGTTAAAACGAGAAAGCCACCCGAGATCTCGACATCCTGAGAACGCGTAAACGCCGGCGAGCGAGAGGGTGGGATCTCCGAAGTTTTTCAGCTAAGCGCACATCTTGTTTCCAGGTTGCACGGGCCATGGACCTGGTCACGATGAATAAAGCCAATGGGTCTGACGGATGACGATAAACTACCGCGTCTCTTGCTCGCCCTGCCGCTTCCCGCGTCGAAGTTTCGTGGAAGGCCGAGCGCGCGGGATTGGATAACTCGGGGCAGTCAGCGACGGCCACCAATCGCTTGAGAAGCTCCGCGCACTCGGGGCGGGCAAGCAGGTCAGGGTGAATGGGCCGACCCCCCCGCGCCAGTACTTTTCTCAGTGAGACGCTAAACATCAGCGCCGCGTGATCTGATATCACTGTTTTGCGAAACACC